TTTCTTAACACATAAACCTGGTAATGTTGCTCCTATTTAAAACCCTTATCTGGCTCTTTATCACCACCTGCAGGATTAAGTTCAAACTTTAAGCATGTCGCTCAAGGTTCCAAAGGCATCCACTGTTTGTCCAGACACTCCACTAATGTGCTTCCCACTGAAGACCCCCTCCTGTCCAAAATTCGTAACTACGCAGGATTTCACAAAGGGTTTTACTATATTCGTCTGGGATGAATAATTTGCTATTATTCATCTGGTAAACAAGTTCTTAGTCCTTCAAAACTAGCTCTAAGGTCACCTCTGGAAAATTGTAAAGGCTCATGCAGAGATTTGCTCCCCCCATACCTGGTATACATTTCCAATCTTAGCACAGTGTCTGACAAGAAGAAATTGCAAATAAGTATGGATCAGTATGGTGACCAAGAAAAGTACATTAAGAACTCTGATCACCAAAATGGAAACTACACACAGCACCCACACCATCGGGGCTGTTCAAAGTTACCACTAGCAAGCATCATGTCAGGGAGGAGAGGAAAAAGGTTCTGGTAACTCACAAAGCTCCCAATGTTGAGCACATGCCCTCACACCTACGTCACTGCCCTGAGAACCAGCCACCGGCACCAGGGTGAATATTAAATGGGAAGCAAACCCTGCATCCTGCAGACTTCTACCTGGTTTTGGTCACACCATCATTCCTCCTCAGTGTCCTTAACAGACCAGGTTTTCAAGAATTACATAAAGTTGGGGAACAGTACAAGTTAGTAGGTGTGCCGCGCAGGGGAGATACTGAACTCGCTGGGCTGTAGGGCTGGTGGATGAGGCATTAACTAAGACACCGTTGTGCTGACGGGCTCCTTGGGGCCCGCAGCTTACTCACTGTGCTAGGAAGGTTGACAATATCTGGCAGTAAGAACTCTTGAGCCTGCCCGCCTCTGGGCACACTGGTGTAGTAAGCAAAATTTCTTAGGACAGGCCCAAAATAATTTAACAGCTTTTTAATGCATTAGAGTGATTCGAAGTTTGCCAACTTTAAAAACTGCCATCTCCTTATTTATTTGATTAAAAATGTTAATGTAGCTAAAGAAACCACAGAAACTGGTTCACAGGCCACCACGTCATCCAGCAGTTTTCCCAATTCCTATAGACTGGTTGGTTAGAGTCATCTGGGGAGCACTCAGAACATTTTATGTTTCACTATTTGGAGGAAATTAACTTAGATTATTTCTCAAACTCTTGTAAAATTCTAGTAAACACTATCTTCTGTAAGAGTGTTCTAATACATAATCTGTTTATTAAAATTGTCTTTATAGTACTTATGAAACTTAAAAATCAATTTAAATTTGAACACCTAAATAATACTCCAAAATGGGAATTCTCAGTATATATAACATTACGTAGAACACAAAAGCATTATTGTGAATATATTTCACTTTTGTGTTCCCTTAGGTACCTGGTTCCTCTCAAGAACATAAACTAGAATTTATAAAATAACAAGGGCATAATACTTCATTTATTTTATACACTTACTTTTTGACAATTATAAAGAGGAACAAGACTTCTGTTACAGAGGTAAAATTAATATATTAAGGATTAGGTAGAAAATGCCTACTTTAAAAAGTGGACATCTTGGGACTCCTGGGTGGCTCAGTCAGTTAAGCGTCTGCCTTCAGCTCAGGTCATGATCCCAGAGTCCTGGGATTGAGTCCCACGTCGGGCTCCCTGCTCGGGGAGGAGCCTGCTTCTCCCTCTGCCTGCCGCTCCCCCTGCTTGTGTGCTCTCTGACAAATAAATAAAATCTTTAAAAATAAAAAAATTTTTAAAAAAGTGGACATCTTGGCAAACATTCACTGTCATCTGATTTTAAATGATTTTTTTCTAGCATCTACATTTAAAATTCACATTTGTCATAGAAAGCAGTTTCTAAAATACAAATACTTTTTCTGAAGAGTTGGGAAGTCACATTTTTAAAGTTTATATATACAATAAAATATACATGTGAAAAGTAAAACATCTAATCAATTAGTATAACCCCACCAACACAATGTTTGTCACCATATTTAAAAGCATTTATTTAAAATATGTCAAACTCCTTCCAAAAGACGGAAGACATGAGCCCATTTCTTGTATTAACGAGGTATATGGTAACAGTGACAAAATTCCTAAATGCATATGGACCATCAGTTGCCTAAATATAAAAATGAACTTTGGCAAAGGTATAAGTATTATACAGAACAACACAGCCAATGCACCATCTCCCCATATCATGGCCCTCGTCCCCCATTCACCCTTCCCGCTTTCAAAAGGTGAGTTATAACCCTGCCCCAGATGACTCAGAATTTTAATTATGTGGTCTGCTAACATTTATTTTTCTCAAACCTCAGTACTACAGCTATAACAAATTACACTTTTAAAATATTTGAAACAGATATTGAATTTATTGGTTGGCTATGAGTAGGAAAATACATCAGTAAAGAAAAGAGACCCTGTATATAAATATAATACTAGCTAGTTACAATTTGACCAAGAAGGTTCCACTGAAAAGAACAGTAAAAGCCCTTGTTACCACCAGTCCATAGGTACATATTCGGTTTCCCATTACCCTTATCAAAGAGCTGCCTAGGCAAATGCGACATTCTTTGAGCTTAGTGCAGATAATGTGCTGGGTTTTGTTACATGAATGGTAAACAAAAACTAGTCCAGTGCATTACACAATATAATGTACTGTGAATAAAGACTAGATACTCTATTTTAGACACTACTTCAACATATCGGTTATTAAATTTTATGTAACCAAAAAGAAGAGCAAAGTGAACATCTTAAAATACTGTTTATGAGTAGGGGAGAAACACTTGCTAAAGGTGTTCTTTGAATTATCTGCAGTATTTGTACTGAAAATTCTGATTGGTTCATCAAAAGAACAAACTGCTGTAACTATTCTGCCTAGGTTGGCTTTTGTCTTATATATGACATGACCCCAAAACCTTAAGTCACTATGGAAACTAATTCCATGAATTTAAATAGTAAAAAAAAAAAAAAAAAAAAAAAACGGAATAATACAATTGGAATTTATTACTGAAAACCTGAATCTTAGAAGAGCTCTGAACTGTTAATTTCAACATTTAGAAGTGCATCCCACCCAATTTAATAATGTCCTTAGGTTTCAAAGTGCTAACTCTCCTGGCTGTCACCAAATCAAGAATAAAAACACATTTCTTGGAGATGTTCCTTGACTGTCTTCTAGGACTAATAAAGTTGCAATCAACAATTTATTTCTACAACTTTAGTTTAAATTATGCCATAAATTAATTTTGACGAATATTTAAATTCTCAATGCATAAATAATTACCAATAACACGGTAAAATGTACTTCAAGAGATTTACAACAAGGAATTGTGTGCCTCCAAATTTCTGATCAGTAAAAACAGAAAACATACCCAAATTTTCTGTAAAACATTCATAAAATGGATTTATCCAGCAAAAACACTGAAATTACATTATGGCAACACCACATTAAATAGATCTGTTACAGAATTTGAAAAAAAAAAATCTATACTGAGAAAACATACTAGTTTTTATTGCATTTTAAAGAGTATGGATTATTGGAAATTATCCAGGACACAGAAGATATTTAGAACACAAAACCTTGCTTAACAAAAGTATCAATCTATTTTGGTGTGACTCTTTATTCCCTACAGACCCAAAATATTTCTTCCTCTTTTGAAGGTTACAGTTGTTAAGACTACACTCTTGGTTCAATATATCACTATCTAAATAAGACGGAGAGGCTGTTCAAACTGACCCACAGAATGCAGTGTGCCCAGAAGAGGCAAGAACAAATAGTCTCAAGACATTAACAGGCCCTTATATCTTACTATGCTGCCCCCAAATTCAAATATATTGCAGACAATAACAAATACAGATGAAAACATTTTTGTGTAAAGCTCAAACCTTTAGCATCTAACAAGTGCACTCTAGTTCCAGCATCTATGAAAAGAATACATCCTCCATTAACAAATACAAATGGGTAAGTGCTTCTCCCCTCCCTCTCCATAAAGCTCTCTGGACCTGTTATCACATAATACAGATCCCATAGGAAAAGCGGTCTCCTTGCCTCATCAGTCCAATCAGCTCCAGCTCACCTTCGCTGGAAATTGTCAGGATGCACATTACCAACACAGTGTTTAGGAAAAATGAGTAAACACACCTTTTATTCACACCTTACAATAAAAATAAAATAAAATAAAATAAAATATAAAAAAAAAATAAAATAATAAAATAAAATAAAATAAAAACAAAAACCCCATAAAGAGTTCTGCATTGGTTCTACATCAATAAAACCAGCTTTCCAATGTACTGATTATAAACTGGACGTGTTTGGTGTCAGCACAACTTAAACGAAAAAGCAAAAAATAAAAAGCCATCACAACAAAATCTTAAAAAAACCTCAAAGGAAAAACCAGGTCCCAGACAAAGATTCAAGATCAAAACCTTTTGGAAAATTCTTTAAAAAGAAAAAAAATCATTTATTTAAACAGGAGGTAATTTTATTTTCTCTTAAAAACAGAATAAGCACATTTAAGTGCTGAGTATTTTTCATAAAATTTTAAGTCATTATTCAAAATGACTCATTTTCTGTATAAAAATTGTTAATAACATTTCAACATTTTTCTTACTGCTCACATGTCCTTTTGCTCCCCTGCCTGCAGTTGAAACAAAAGCAGTTAGACCAAGTTCCCTCTGAATTCATTTGATTTTTGAGAGAAGAATGAATGAGAACAGAATACATACAAGTTAACTTTGCAAAGTTAAAAGCTAGCTTTAATCTCTCATCTACTACTGATGCTACGCGCAAAATACAGGGTGCAACAGAATTTTTACCTTGGTTGACCTATTAAAATGACTTAGTCACTTTATAAATGATCTGAAGAATTGTCTTAGGGACCTGTTTTGAAAATACATCTCATTTACACTGCTTCATAAATGGAAAATTATTTAAAAAAAAAAAAAGGGAATGATTTTTTAAAAAACACGGAGACAAAGGAATACGTGGAAAACAAAGAATTCACATGATAGTAGTATTCCGGGTGACGGACAGCATTGTGCAAGGACACCAAGAAGCAATGCTTGGGTCTGGTGAGCAAAGACCCAGGGACCCACCTATGAACATGTTCCAAAATGTGATATTCAATGCTTCACAATGGAAAAAAAAGCCACAGCTTATACAAAAGCGTTTTCATAAAATTCTCACAAATGTTAAACAGTATTTAAAAAATATAAAAGAGGCTGCACAGATTCTCTCTGCATGCACAGGCAGTGCTTGGTGAGAACAAATTTAGGCAGGCACAGTGGAGATAGGACAGGAAGTGTCTCAAAAAGGAGTTAAGAAGCTGCATCCAAGCAGCTGTAATTTTTTAACTTAAAAAAGTTAAAGATTTAAAAATATCAGAATGTACATATATCAACCATTACATTCAGTCCATAAATGCCTACAGATCATTCACTGCTCAGCTTATCTGTCCTGGTAGATAGCTTTTGTAAAAACCCAGGAATTCATGGATAAGTTGCCTCTGGTCTGAGAAAATGTCCAAAGCTTTAAGCAGATTTAGATTTAAAGAGCAATGTTCTCAGTTTAAAAATAAAGTAGTACAAAAGGGCCAACAAAACCCTAACAGTGCAAATCATCAGCAGAGAAAGTCTGTTGCAACTTCTTTTACAAGCTGGCCTTTATAACACATGAAACAGTAAAAAAAAACTTAGCCTTAGTTTACAATACAATCATTTCCAAATCTGATTTTTTTTAGTACAAAATTTCATAAATCAGGTCTTCTGTGGATCATATACAATCATAAAGGCTAAATTCAAAGTCTCTATTTTACAAACAAGTCTGAAAAGGGAGGGAGTAAAGTATGGAAGAATGGTCTCTGGATGTTATTACTGGCCTCAAAAAAGTAGTGCTACAGATTTCTGTGCAAAGAGAATATGCTGTTCAAACATTTTCCTATTTCAAGGCATGAAAATATTATATTGGATAGAAGAAACAGGAAAATTACTTGTAACAAATTAAAGAGAGGTGTAAACACACCAATCCCTGTCTAACAGTATATAAAGCATATTGGGCTCAGAATTTGTTGCTAGCACCTGGCTTTCATACTATATCCTTATCAAATAATCAAGATTGAAAATTCAAATCATCAAGAAAAAGGAAAAAAAAGAAAAAACAAAACAAAACAAAAAAACAAACCCTGGTGGCCATACCTCACTCCCCTATAATCAGATTTTATGAGTTTACAAGTGAAACTGAGGTCGTCCTCTGAAGGTACTTGACTACCTCCTGCCAGGAAGGTGAATGCCGTTAACTTGGGGCAGGAAAGGCAGTAAGAGCTCCAGTTGTGCAAAAAGTGAGAAGTGGTCGGAGGGGATGAGCGGGTGTGGGCAGCCACTGATATTATTCTCAACTAGCCAATGGTGGTCCAGAGGTCCCAGGATGCCTAAAGTGTTCAGCTGAGGTTTCGAATAGAAGATGTAGTCAATGATACCCTGAAAAACAGAAGGAAAAAAAGATGAGGCCTCACATAAGCTAACACTGAAACACTGAGAGCTTTCAAGACGTACCCTCACAGTCATGTTTGGTAAACATGGGAAGAGGCAGTACTACATAAACCAAATGGTCCCCCACATGTCAAATCTAGCAGAATGAAAATAGTTTAGGGATGATAATCATTCATTCTTCCTCATTTCTGGACCTTTTCACAATCTTTAATGAGACCTACAAGATCCTTCATGGTATGGCCTCAGCTTCTCTTTCCTAACTTGATTTTTTATTATTTTCCCACGCTGACTACTCTATTACCATACTGGTCCTTTTTTTTGAGGAGGGGTGGTGTTGGGAGGGGAGAAGGAAATCCCTTGTAGGTGCCAAGCTCCTTCCTGCCCCAGGGCCTCCACACACGCTCTCCCCTCTGCCTGGAGCACTTTCTTCTATGTGTCATTTGGCTAATTTCTTCTCAATCTTCACGTCAAGTTCATTCACCTTCCCAAGTCCTTCCTGAATCTTGCCCCCACCCACTTACTACCTGCTACCACCTCCAAGTCTCTTCTCTTGTTTATGCGCACCCCTGAGGTGTAACTACACACTCATTTGTGTGGGAGAGACCGCTCTCTCCCACAGGACTGCGAGCTCCACGAGGGCCGGGACATCTCTGCCCTGCACACCGCCAGCAGCACCCAGGCCCAGCACTGGGCACCCAGGTAAACACCTCTCAGTTTGCCCCTCTCCTCCCTGTAACTTCAGCCTCTCCTCCACATGCTTTCAGCCAAAAATACTTAAGCACATTCAAGTGTCTTCCTCTTATCTCTGTATCAGCAACAGGAACAGAAAGAAAAAAGAATCCCTAATCTCTCCTACCTTTTCGTTATCACCCTCACCTCCTCTTCAATCAATCTGCTTCAAGTAAGAATCTCAACGTTGGTTTTTACTACCTCCTTGCCCAGCAATATTCTTTAACTCTCCACATTCTAGTCTCGGTGCCTAGCTCACCAGTGAAGCATCTCTCACCAACAGTTTTTGGAAGCTGAAAGCATGCTTCTTTTCCCCAGAAAGGCCTTCCTGCCTTGGCAGTTGGGCTCCTACACTGTCCTGGTTTACCTCCTCTCTCTGGCCACTCTTCTGTCACTTACACGTTCCTTTTCCCCAGAGTCTACTCCAGCCTCTCTTCATCTCCACACACTCATCTGTTCCCAGAGTTAAATCATTATCTACAGCACTGCGGCCCCTCCAAACTCAAATTTAAAAAATTTCAAGTTTTTCAAGTTTCTCAAAGAAGACTAACAAACAGCCCTCCCGTCCAAAATTAAGATCCAGTTATTACTAGTATTTAACACTCTAACACACAATCTAACCTGAATGATTCTTTTTCCAGGAGGTTAGAAACTAAGATTCAAGAGCAGAAATGCAAAAGATAGTTAAAAAGAACAGATGAATGCAAGTCCTAAACAACCACTGATATTAAAAATGAGAAGCTCCATATTGTAAGCCACTAACTGTGTCTGAATGAATATAAAATAGAACATATATTTTCAAATGGCTAATATAAACCACATTTTGGCTCAAGGAGTACAGTTTCAGTTAAAATATGAGAGATGAAACATGTCAATCCAACGGACACCAAATTAAATACTATGGTACCTTCTGAACAGCTGTTAGCAATGAGCATATGAGAAACATAATTGCCCCAAAACAGTGACAGTAAAACTCAGGATTTACTATCATTATTTCATCTGATTTCTTACCCTGGAAACGACTCTAAGAGGTAACTATCAAGTAGGAACGGGACACAAATCACAGAAGAGTAATAAGAGAATACTGCTGTCAACTAATTCAAGATGGCTTACTTCCGGTCTCAACACACATCCACATTTCAAAGATATAATAAAATTACAAGACTCTCCCAAAAAATGGAGGTTTACAAAGTTTCTCAATCTCAAAAGTCACCTTGAAATCAAATGTCCATCGACAGAAGAATGGATAAAGAAGATGTGGTATAGGTGGGTGTAATATATATATATACATATATATGTACATATACACACACAATGGAATATTATGCAGCCATTAAAAAAAAAAAAAAAAAAAAAACCATGAAATCTTGTCATTTGCAACGACCTGCATGGAACTAGAGGGTATTATACTAAGCGAAATAAGTCGATCAGAGAAAGACAAGTATCATATGATCTCACTGATATGAGGAATTCTTAATCTCAGAAAACAAAGTGAGGGCTGCTGGAGTGGTGGGGGGTGGAAGGGATGGGGTGGCTGGGTGATGGACATTGAGGAAGGTATGTGCTATGGTGAGCCCTGTGAATTGTGTAAGACTGATGAATCACAGACCTGTACCTCTGAAACAAATAATACATTATATGTTAAAAAAAAAAAAAAAGAAGAAGAAGATAGTAGGAAGGGAAAAATGAAGGGGCGGGGGAATCGGAGGGGGAGAGGAACCATGAGAGACTATGGACTCTGAGAAACAAACTGAGGGGTCTAGAGGGGAGGGGGGTGGGGGGATGGGTTAGCCCGGTGATGGATATTAAGGAGGGCAGGTACTGCATGGAGCGCTGGGTGTTATACGCAAACAGTGAAGCATGGAACACGTTACACATCAAAAACTAACGATGTATTGTATGGTGACTAACATAATATAATAAAATAAAATTACAAAAAAAAAAAGTCACCTTGAAATCGAACGTGTAATTTGTATAAGGCATCAGGCCACTCTCATAGGCACTCTTTAACTTGAAACCATGCGTGATTCTTCCATTGGTTGTCCCGTTCTTTCCATTACAGCTGAAGTTTGTAAGACTTTCATTATATCTCAGTTCCTTAAAGTCTTTATGATTTGTTTCTACTCCACCAGTGCTTAAATACTCTACAACACCTATAATGAAGATACAGGTACTTTGTTCATTGTCCAGTATAATATGCAGTGTACAAAACTGAAAAAATGTAATAGTAACTACTTTAAAACAGACAGTCCCCCTTTCTAAAATGTTTGTTATTGTTTTATTTTTTTTTTTACATTTCCCAGAACTTATCTAAGTCCATTTTTACATGGTTTTGATCCTAGTATATTGAATATTTTATATTTTGCTGTGCTGGTGTTTCATATTTGTTAAACTAGTTCCTTATTTCTTAAAAAAATTCAGCTTGTTTTTGCTTTTTTAAAGAGTTTATTTATTTAATTTATTAGAGAGAGAGCATGAGCAGAGGGAGGGAGAAGGTTAGAGGGAGAAGTTGACTCTCCACTGAGCAGGGAGCCCAAAGCGAGGCTGGATCCCAGGACCCTGAGTTTATGACTTGAGCGGAAGGCAGATGCTTAACCGACTGAGCCACCCCAGGCATCCCTTGTTTTTACTTTTTAAAAAGAGTTAATTCCATAATCAACATCTTAGTATCTAGGTTTCTGCCTATGTTGACTTATTTACTTGGTATAAAATGCCAAGATTAGGATTAAATGTGCCACTATACATACTGTCAACCATGGAAGAGAATGCCACCAGCTAGACGGGCTCCACAAATAGTTATTTTACTTTTCATTTAATGAGTAAAGTTGGACATTTTCCCATGTGTTTGCTATTAAAATACTGTATTTTTTTAACACTGAAATGAGGCTTAATATGTATTATTTGACTAGTCTCTCTTCATCCCCTTAGATACTCTGTAGTTAAACAGAAGGCAGGACACATGTAGAGAAACTGCCAGAGAACAATCCCCCACTGCTTCAGCAGCAGTGATCCCAGAGAGCTCTAAGAGATGGGCCGAAGAATTATGGATCTCAGATACCTTCACCTGCCCTGAAAACAAATTTTAACAGTTTTTTATTTTCTTCCTGGCTCTCATCCATCATGACGGCAATGAACTGCAAGTGAACTGAACCACTCCAAATGTGTTTATACTTACATGCTTCAGGCACATGTACAAGGGCAAGGAAAAGTACTTTGTGCGAATGACAGAGTACAAACAAAGAGTTGAAATACAAAAAGGAATACTTAGTCTGACATTACAAGAACTATGGTTTTGTTCACTGTACTATCCAATGGAAAAGTATTCAAGAATAAGCCTTTCTGTATTCTTCTACATTGTAATAAAAATCAAGATCCCTGTTCTATTTTGTTCAAAGCACTAGCCTGATCTGTGTAAATAAGGGATCTCAATTTCCACCCAAGGTGTATTGGTATCAAGCCCACCAATATTAAGATCCTATAAATAGCCATTTACACTGCATCCTATTACTCCATGCTGGAATCCCAGAGAAGCTATCTTAAATAACCTTCTCAGAGTTTAGATTATATGTGACTTGGGGATAATGAAATATAATCATATGTTCTTTAACAAGTTATTTCAAGTTATCAACTACATGTTTATCGAAGATGATTAATGTCCTTCCTCCTTAGGTGTTCATAGCATCATCTCATTTTCAAAATAGTCTCCCTAACTACACACACAAAAAATGCTAAATCTGATTCACAGTTGCTGCTATAAGCTGAATTTTCATTTTGACCAAATTTGGAATTACCAAAAACAATATATTACAAAAACAATTCAGTCAAAAAAAAAAAAAAAAAGCATTCTACATAAAATATCTTTTCTTACCAGAATCCGGCAAAGAATTAAGATCTGCACATAACACTAGTGGAATAGTTCCAAATTCTCCCACTACACTGGACTGGAGGTTTCGTGAGGCTTTATCAATAATGTTCTTCACTTCTGAGAGGAACATCATAGTTTGAACCAATTTCACATCAGAGTATTCAGGGTCCCAATGCATATGAGCATTAGCCACAAGAATAAGTTGTTTTTCTGTTCCAAGATGTGGCTTTCCAGCTATATTAGATAAAAAGAAAACAAAGAGACAGACAAAACCCGCCCATCAGCCCATATATTCTTACAGGATCTGAAAGCAAGTAATATATCTCAGAGTCTCAGGAACAAAAAAGGACCCTAAAATTTACCTAACAACCGCCCACCTGATGACTAAATCTACGGTAGCACAAACCTGAAAAACAGTCCTCTATGCTCTGGTTGAATGGTTTGAGGTAGGGCATTCAGTACTTGAACACACACAGCCCATTCTATTTGGGACAGCTTTATTTTTAAACAGTTGTCTCCTTAAAACTTCTGGCTTCATTCAGATGTCCTAAATTGAGTCTCACAAAATTAAATCTACATCCTTTTTCTTAGATATATTTAATACAGGCACTAAGTTCCATCTTTATTTTCTCTCCTTCAGGTTAAACATCTCTAGTCCCAACTGTTCCTCAAGTGACACAAGTTTCAGTTCTCGGCATGATGGTCACTCCAAATGTACTTTTAATTTGAAATAAGTGGTCCCTTTATCCAAAACTCAAAACATTTAAAATAATGATTACAAGTAGGGCAGGAAGAGAAGTTAGCTTACAGAGTATCCTTGCTGCCACGAAATTATATAAGGGTATGGAGTTCTTCTCTCTGAGCAGTTATTTTAGCTAATATTTATTTCAACATTTCTTTTACGTAAAATATTATTGGGAGCAAAAAAACCCATTTTTTTCTTTGGCTTTATGCCTTTCAAAGTTTGAAATACTTTTCTGGGCACTGCGTTCTCATCTTAAGCTTTGTGGTAGAGAAAAAGGGATATGGTATTTTAGAAATGACTTAAATTCTCACTGAGTTTCTTCAGGTGTTAGAGAAGACTATTAATACAGAACAAATTTTCTGCTTTCTATTAAATTTTGGAGGTCAATTTTACAGGAAGTGAAAAGGTCACTCACATGACATTTCAATCAATTCCTTTCGAAGTTCTAGCAGTACTGCAACTCCAATGTTATCTTTTGTCATGACTCTGTTCAGCATAGCTTCAGACCCTTCTGAATTTGCCATTGCTAGCTGATTAAATTCAACAGTGTGTTTCTGAACCAAAGTAAATCTAAAACACAAACAAAAACACACACACAAACATAGAATTGGGAATACCAAGGTATTAGCTTTGTGGGAAATGCAATTTTCCCAAACTTTCTTAACAAATATGATGGCATGTAAATCACATTATGGAAAATCCTCCAACTTCACACCAAGCTTCCCACATCCGTTTCAAGTTGTTCTCAGTCTGTTACTGATAAAAACAACATCTTGAAATACTTTTACAACTTAAGACAATGTAGTCATCTTCTGTTTTAAGTTTCGTGTTGGAATATTCCATCTTGTAATTTTTAAATAATTCTTTTCCAAACTACAGGTTTAAGAATCCCTCTACCATCTTAGAGGGAATGATAATTCAGAGGTGTTTCAATTACCAATTGGAGTTAAACCCTAGTGAACACCTGAAGAAACAGCAGCACTTTCAACAAGTCTCCCAAACAAGATCACTTCTGATGCTTCAGAACCAAACCCTTCAACACTAAGAATACAACACTTCAGTCTCCGATTTGCCAACTAATTTCCACACCCCTGACTCCCTGCAAATACTGAGAAAATTTTCTTTTTTAAACATAAGATGACTTACTTTTCTGTCTTGAAGAATACTGCACAGCCATCGACATGTTTTCTCTCTTGTTCTGACATTGTCCGAGCTCTAGATTTAGGACTAAAGAATCCATTATAGCCACGTTCTTTCAGTTCTACCAGAAAAAAACTGTAATACTGTTCTGTTTCAACCTCCTGAAAAATTGCAAATGGCAAAGTTATTCATAAGACAAAAATCAGTCCCATGCATTAACTTTACATGTACAGTTTGAGGGGTTGAAATAATTTCAAAGGACTAATCTGCAGAATAAGGAACTAACATCTTTCAACGTACATACACCTCGGTGTGTGTGTATTTTCTTATATTTTAGAACTGATGGGGAATAAGAATCAGAGAGAGAGGAGGAACTTCGCAGATTCTAATTGAAGACCACAGGTAGAAAGTGACTTGCCCAAGGTCGTGTAAATTATTATGACAGTAGGACTGAGACCCCAAAGTTACTGTGTATCAGGTTCAATGCGCTTTCCACTATGCCCTAATTATTCTATTACTGCTGATGGTAAAGTAAAACTATACCTTGACAATGCCATAATTTCAGTAACACCGCCACCCCATTAAAAAATAGTGCCAGGGCATCTGGGAGAGAAAGATGAATATTTAACTGTCATAGCAAATGCCTAAAACCCAAATTAACCCATTTGCTTCATTTGGCAGCACAGTGCTGCAAAACAAAGCAGGTAGTGAATGCTCCCAAGATTTGCTAAAAACAGAGCCAATATTTTAAGAATTGCTGAGCTGGAACTTCAAATGTGTTAGGGTAATGTGTTCCCAGTCTGTCCCTTGCTTATCAACACCGAGGCATTTGTGCAATTTACACAAACACTCTTTTCATGACTTACCTGAAGACTTATGATATCAGCATTGCAGCTCAAAATTTCTTGAATAATGGCCTTTTTCCTGTAGTCCCAATTTAGTGCCCAAGATGGACAGTAGCCGTATAACTGCCGGGTCGCATATTTATCACAAAGAACATTATAGCACATGACAGAAAACAAGGCTGTAGGAAAGATAACTTTACTTATTCACACACGTGGCAGAAAAATAAAAATAATTAATTTCAATAATTTTTACTTAAATGCTAAGTTTGACTTTATTTCATTCAATATATATTCACTGAAAAGCTACTATATGCCAGACATAATGGATAAAAGTAAAGTTGAATAAGGAAGGAAAGACAGCTGAACAAATAATGATACGATGTGTTATCTGCTATAGAGATACCCACAGAAGGTTTGAAGCTAAAAGACTAAGATCTCAAGCCTCTCTGTCCCTAAGACCAGGGCTCATCACATCTGTACTCCCTCCACCACTCTGCTAACTGCTAATCCATAATGTGGAAAACTTGACAGTTTTCCTAATAGGCATGGCTAACTTTCTTCTATAGAGCAACTATTATTAATCCATGTGAAAGAAAAGAGGTATCATAGACCAAATCCTGTTACACACATCATGTAATTCCCAAACTATTTTCATACAAGTTAAGTTAAAAAGAAATCAGAGGGGGGTCCTGGGATCAAGCCCCGCATCGGGCTCCCTGCTCCGTGGGAAGACTGCTTCTCCCTCTCCCACTCCCCTTGCTTGTGTTCCCTCTCTCGCTGTGTCTCTCTCTGTCAAATAAATAAATAAAATCTTTAAAAAAAAAAAAAGAAGTCAGAGGCCATTAGTTCAATTTCTCTCTCAAGTAAGTGTTTTGGCTGTCTTACAATTCTGTAGTATCAAATTCATTTGGAACACACTATGGTTTGGAAACTTCCAATATAAAGATTTTGGTGTCTTTATTATAATAAATGAGTTTGGTCAATACTTTACAGCGGAGCTTCTTCTCAACAGTGGCACTACTGACATTATGGGTGGGTAAATTCTTTGCTGGGGGCTGGGGGGAGGCGCTGTGCTGTGCAATGTAGCATGCTTAGCAGCATCTCTGATTTCTAACCATGGGCTGTCAAGAGCACTTCCCCCGGTTTTGACAATCAAAAAAATGTCTCCGGACATTGCTAAATGTCCCTTGGGGGATGAAAATGCCTCTGGTTGAGAAGCACTGCTCTACAGCATACCTATGGCATAGTAGGAAGACCAGCTAAGCAACAATTAAGTCTTTATTATTCTCTCTCAAACCAAATCAATCTTAAGCATTCAACTATAACACAGCCCATAATCTAACCCATGCCAACACACTGTTAGATTTATAATACCAAGTAAAAATAAGTTAAAAAAAATATAAGGCTACCACCAACCAGTTGGCCTTGTTCTGTCTGGTTCTTGCAACATAATCCAAGATCTTGGAGGTGGCTGTTCTGTTGAAACTAGATGAATATAAAACAAAATTAAGCAATATTCTTACACATCTTCCTAAAAAAATTGTTTGAACAAATGACCACTTACTTCTTTTTGCAGTACCTGCCAAATTATCAAGCAAATAGTTCAGTAGCCTTCTTGTTCCATCTGGTTCCAGATAGAGGTTCAATATATCCTGGGTAAGTGGATTTCCTGGAAATATTTTTTAAATAGGTAAAATGAAACCAAGAAAGGTAACAAAATATTTCAAAAGTAAAAAACATACCGAAATTATCAGATCATCTATAACAATGTATATAGTTACTAGTAATATACCAAACCAGAGAAAATATTTTTCCAGTTTTTGATAAGAATAAAAATGATTCATACCATGTTCTACAGAAGTAGGCAGAAAATGATGATTGTGGACTGATGTCAATCTAAAAGAGATCTAACAGTGCTCTGTATCTGGCCCTGCCTCAACAACACTTTTACGACAATCAAACCCAAGTGAAAGTAGAAGGGGAAGAGTGGGAAGGAGGGTCAGACCAGGGAAAGAGGGCAGCCACTGTAATGAATCAGAGAATCAAAACTTAAGAATGCAACAAAGCTAACAAGATATCCTAATGACAAACATAGTCTGCACTTAGATTTTTAAAAATTCTACTAAATAAAGTAATAACAAGATGAGACAGATTTGGTTTATGATTAAGTCACTAAGGAAAGGGGAAAACCCCAGGGCTGTGAGCCATCCATAAATTCAGTAGCTCTTTCCTAAGTGCCAAAAATGAAAGCAAGCGGAATGATTTACATGTATCTACAAGAGTCTCAAATCCTCGCAGAAGGATTTCTTATGTGCTTATGAAAATTAACAGTACAATGAACTGCTTGAACAGTGAAGTTCCTACCCACACCACACAAGGGGTATATATATTGTTCTGGATGCCACAGCCCCACTTTAAGAAAGACTAATAAATGTCATAGACTGAAGAAGACAAACGATTTATAAATCATTATAAAGTGATTATAAGATCTTAAACATACCAAATGAAAAAAGATTTTCAAAGGATGTTGCCCCCCTCACTTTCTCTGCCAGAGAAGTGTTAAGAGAAAGTCAGCAAAAACAGAAGGTTGAGTAAGATTCAGAGTTTCATAATGTAATATGACTATGTCCAGTTTCAAGTGAAAATCACTCATCATACCAAAGATTTCAAACTAAATGAAGAAAGATAAACAAGATTCCAACACCAAGATGACAAAAACATTAGAATGATCTGATCTAAATACAGCAGGCATGACAAAAAATGCTTAAATGAAAAATAGCAAAAACATGTTTGAAATAAATGAAAAAACAGGAAGACTCAGCAAAGAAAAACAAAGTTTTGGCAAATGAACAAAACATGTTTTTGAAAATGGAAATATTAAAACTGAATAACAGAATCAATGAAATAAAAAGTTTAGTGGATGGGTTCAACAGCAACATAGTGAACTGAAGACAGAACAGTAAGAATTACCTAATCTGAACAATAATAGAAAGGAAACCGAAAAAAATGAACAGAGCCTTAGGGACCTCTGGGACCATAACAAAATTCTAAAGTTCATGTCCTCAGAGTTGTGGAAGCAGAGAACAAGAATCACTGAGCTGAAACAGTACTCAAAGAAATAATGGCTGAAAAACTCCCCAAATTTGGAGAGAAAAACAAACCTGCAGATTCAAAAGTCTGATAAAACCCAAACAGGACACACTTAAATGAATCCACAGCAAGCCACACCATAATTAAACTTCTGAAAACTAAAGACAAAGAAAAAATCTTGAAGGCAGCCAGAGAAAAACACCTTACCTCTAGGGGGAACACACTCTGAATAACAGCAGACTTCTCATCACAAGCCACGGTGGTCACAGGGAAGTGGCACAAGATTTTTAGTGCTGGAAAAAAAGAACTGGCAACCCAGAACCAATATCCAGTGAAAACAACCTTTAGAAAGGAAGGAGAAATAAAGACATTCACAGAGGACAGAAAACTAAGAGAATCTATTGCCAGCAGATCTATCCAAAAAGAATCAGAAGTTCTCTAAATACAAAGGAAATGATAAAAGAAGGAACCTTGGAACATTATAAAGAAAAAAAGAATATGATCTTCAAAAGGGGGCAAATATAATAATAGGCTTTCCTTTGCTTAAGCTTTCTAACTCGTCTTCAGCCGTTAAAATATTTTCGTAACACTGGTTTGGTTCTAAATAAACGTAGAGAAAATATTTAAGACGATACTATAAACAGGGAGCAAATAAAAAGTCATCAAGAGAGTTAGGGATTATATATTTCACTCAAAATGGCAAAATGATAGCACTAATAGACTTTGTAAGTTCTGTATGTTGTCCACAAGAAACTCACTTCAAATGTAACACTATAAGCAGGTTGAAAGGAAAAGGATGGAAAAAGATGTCATGAAAACAAAGGAAAGCAGTAGTGACTAATTAGTATCAGATAAAGTTGGTATCAGAGAAGATAAATTTACTAGAGACACAAAGTGACATTACATAATGTAAAGCAGAACACATAGCAATTCTAAACACGCATCCACAAAATGACAGAACTGAAAAATATTTTAAGCAAAAACAGAACTGAAAGGACAATAGAGAAATCTCCAATTATGCTGGGAAACTAACAATCCTCTCTCAACAACTGACAGAACCAGACAAAAAAGTTCCAACACCATCAATCTGACACTAACTACGTTAATATATAGGATCCAGTTGAGATTTATAGAACATTCTACCCAATAACAGCACAATACATATTCTTGTGCATGCCCAAGGGGCATTAAACTAGTAAAGACCAAACCCTGGGCCATAAACCACCAAACGTCAACAAATTTGAAAGAACTCAAATCATACAGAATTCTTCAACCACAGGGAATCACACTAAAAACTAGTACTGAAAAGACAAAAGGGAAATCTGGAAACACTTGGGAAAATTCTAAACAATCCATGGATCAAAGAGGAAGTTTTAAGGAAAATTTTAAAATGCACTGAATTAGGGGCACCTGGGTGGCTCAGATGGTTAAGCGTCTACCTTCGGCTCGGGTCATGATCCCAGGGTCCTGGGATCAAGCCCCACATCGGGCTCCCTGCTCAGTGGGGAGCCTGCTTCTCTCTCTCTCTCTACTGTTCCCCCTACTTGTGCTCTCTCTCTGTCAAATAAATAAAATCTTTAAAAAAAATTTAAAAAAAAAAAAAGTAAAATGCACTGAATTAGTGAAAATGAAAACACACCATATCAAAATTTGTGGCTGGACACAGCTAACACAGAGCCAAGAGGGAAATTTATAGGACCTAATGCATACGTTAGAAAAGTAATCTCAATTCAATAATCTAAACTCTGATCCTAAGAACCTAGAAAGAACAAAAAGCAAAAAGATGGATTAAAAATACTAAAGAATAGGAATCAATGAAATTAAAAACAGAAAAAAGGAATTTTTTAAAAAGCTGTTTCTTTCAATAAAATTAGTAAACCTCTACCAAGACTGACAAAGAAAATGAAGACAAAAATTACCAATATAAAAAGTGAAAGGGGATATCACTACAAATCTTACAGAAATCAAAAGGATAAGAGAATACTATGAACAACTCTACATACATAAATTTAACAACTCATATGAATGGGCCATTTCCCTGAAAAACACTAACTGTCCGAACTCACTCTGTACATAATTTAAATAGCCCTATACCTATTAAAGGAAATGAATTCATAATTTAAAAAATACCGGGAAAGAGGGGCGCCTGGGTGGCTCAGTCAGTTAAGCATCAGATCATGATTGTCTCAGGTCATGATCTCAGGGTTGTGGGATCAAGCCCCAAGTCAGGCTCCATACTCAGCATGGAGTCCACCTGAGATTCTCTCTCCCTCCTTCCTGTGCCCCTACCCCTGCTCACACATGCTCTCAAATAAATAAATAAATAAAATCTTAAAAACTGACAGAAAAGAAATCTCCAGACCCAAACTGCTTTGCAGGAAAATTCTACTAAACACTTAAAGAATTCTAATTCTACAGACTCTCAGAAAACAGAAGAGGAGGGGGCGCCTAGGTGTCTCAGTCATTAAGTGTCTGCCTTCGGCTCAGGTCATGATCTCAGGGTCCTGGGATCGAGCCCTGCATCGGGCTCCCTGCTCAGCAGGAAGCCTGCTTCTCCTTCTCCCACTGCTTGTGTTCCCTCTCTTGCTGTGTCTCTCTCTGACAAATAAATAAATAAAATCTTTAAAAAAAGAAAACAGAATATGAAGGAACACTTTCAAATTCATTTCATAAAGCTAGTATTACCTAAATACCAAAACCAGTTAGCATACAAATAAAAATAAAGACAAATACCCCTCATGAATATTGAGTCAAAAATCCTTAAGAAAATATTAGCATACAGAAGTAAGCAATAAATAAAAAGAATGAGAACCATGACCAAGTGGGATTTATTCTAGGAATACAAGGCTGGTTCAATATGCAAAAATCAATTATAAGGCTAAAGGAGCAAAATTACATAATCCTATCAACTGATGCAAAATAGGCATTTCACAAAATTAAAAACCCATTCATGATTAAAATCTCCAGAAAAAAAGAAATAGAGGGAAACTTCCTCAAACTGATAAAAGACAATCCACAAAATGCCTACTGCTAACATTACACTTAACAGTGAAGACAGAACACTTTCAAAGATCAGGAAAAAGAGGGATATCTGTTCTCACAACTCTTATTCAACATAGTGCTAGAAGTTCTAGTCAGCACAATAAGGCAAGAAAAAGAAAGAAAAAGCAGAGATATTGGTAAACAAGAAATAAAATCATCCCTATTTGTAGATGACATAATTTTCTACTACATGGAAAATTCCCCCCCAATTAAAAAATTTACCAAAAAGAGCACACACACACAAAAAAAAGGCAACTCCTAGAACTAGAAGTGAATTCAACAGGGTGGAGGATACAAGAAAAAATACAAAAATCCAATTCAAAAAGATATATGTACCCCTATGTTTACTGCAGCATTATTTACAATAGCCAAGATATGGAATCAACCCAAGTATCCATCCATAGATGAATGGATAAAAAATGTGGTATATATGTACAATGGAGTATTACTCAGCCATTAAAAAAAAGATCTTGCCATTTGCTACATGAATGGACCTATAGGATATTATACTAAGTTAAATAAGTCATACAGAGAAAGAAAAATATGACACAGTATCACTTAAAAGAATCTAAAAAACAAAACGAACAAGCAAACAAACAAAAATCTGACTGTTAAATACAGAAAACAAACGGGTGGCTGCCAAAGGGAAGGGGGGAATGGGAGGATGGATGAAAGAGGTGAAGAAAAAAAAAATCCCCACTGTATTTCTATATGCTCAGGAATGTACACATGGAGAGCAAAATTTAATACACTATCAGTTACAATCACTAAAAAAAAAACACCACAAACAAAAAGAAATAAATCTAACAAAACATTTACATGCCTTATATACCAAAAACTACAAAATATTGATGACAAAAATCAAAGCTCTAAATATAGGGAGAGACACGGCATGTTCATGGATCAGAAGATTCAATTCTCCCCAGTTTGATCTCTAGGTTTCACACAATTCCGATCAAAATCCCAGCAATATTTCTTGTAACTAGAGACAAGATTATTCTAAATGTATAGGGAAAGGCAAAGGAACTAAGTTTAAAATGTTTTGAAAAAGACAACCATAGTAGAGGAATCAGTCTATCCTATTTCAAGACTTAATTACCCTATTTCAACTTTCAAGTAACTACTGGCAAAGGGATAGACACACACATCAATGGAAAAGAGAGAATCCAGAAATAGATCCACACAGATATGTCCAACTGATCTTGGGAAAGGTGTAAAGGCAATTCAATGGAGGATAGACTTTTCAACAAATGTTGCTAGACCAACTAGACATTCATACACTAAAGCATGAACCTTCAACTAGTCCTGGCTTCTTTTAGCTCAATTTTAACTTCAAACAGATCACAGACTTAAATGTAAAACATAAAACCATGAAACTTTTTTTTAAAAAAGATTTATTTATTTTAGAGAGGGGGGAGGGGCAGAGGGAGAGGGAGCAAGAATCTCAAGCAGACTCCCCACTAAGCACAGGCCCTGATGTGGGGCTCCATCTCACGACCCTGAGATTATGACCTGAACTGAAATCAAGAGTCGGACGCTCAACTGACTGCTGCGCCACCCAGGCGCCCAAAACCATGAAATCTCTAGTACAAAACACAGGAGAAAATCTCTGGGATCTAGAGCTATTCAGAGCATTCTCAGACTTGACACCAAAACCCAAGACACATAAAAGGAAAAATGATAAACAACTTCATCAAAACTAAAAACTTCTGCTAAATATGAGACCCTGTATGATACTGTGATTTATAATAAGAAATATATATATATATCTGGTCTTCACCCACTTTCTTAAAGCTCCTAAAACCCTTAAAATTTCCTGTGTGAAGAAGTTGCAGAGGTGTCTCTTGTTAACGAAGTAACTTTCAGACCCTGCCTAAGGACTGGAGACCGCTTGACAGAGGAACCAACCATGTGACTAGAGAGCTGGAATTTTCACAGTCCCACCCTAGAGGAAAAGGGGACTGGAAGTTGGCTCAATCATCAAGGCTAATGATTTAATCATGCCTATGTTATGAAGCCTCTGTTAAAAACTCAAAAGCATGGGTTCAAAGAGCCTCCAGGTTGGTGAACACACGGAGATTCAGGGAGAATGGCGTGCCTGGAGAGAGCATGGAAACTCCATGCCTCTCCCCCATACTTTGCCTTATGCATCTCTTCCATCTGGCTATTCCTGAGTTATATCCTTTTATAAAAAACTGGGAATCTAGTGAGTAAATGGGTTTCCTGATTACTGTGAGCCACTCTTAACAAATTAATGGAACCAAGAAGGGGTTGTGGGAACCTTGGTCAGAAGCACAGGCAAGGAGCCATCGTGTAGGATTGAACCCTTATCCGTGGAATCTGATGCTATCTTTGGGTATGTAGTGTCAGAATTTAGTTGAATTATAGGACATCTAGCTGGTGCCCTAGAACGGCTTTGCTGGTGTGGGGGAAAGCCCCCCAGCGCTGGAACTGGGTATGTTAAGTGGATGAGAAGACTACATATTGGGAAAACAATGTTTGCAAATCACATCTCTGACAAAGGCCTATTATCTAGAAATACAACAGACTCCCAAAACGCAACAGTATAAAACAGTCCAGCCAGACAGAACGCGGCAAAGACGCGAAGACTACACCACAGATGATGACATACAGATAACAAGGAAGCACATGCAAAGATGGGCAGTATCTTCAGCTAACAGGGAAATGAACATTAAAACCACAATCAGATATCACTACACATCTATCAGAAAGGCTAAAGTAACAAGAGTGACAACACCAAGCTGGTGAGGATCACTCATTTATCACCGGTGAAAATGTCAGATAGTACAGCCACTCTGGAGAACAGTTTGGCCGATTCCTAGAAAACTAAACATGACACTAACGTATGACTGAGCCAACTGTATTCCTGGGCATTTATCCTAAAGAAATGAAGACTTATGTTCACATAATAACCTGTACGCAGCTCACAGCTGCTTCATCCATAATAGCCAAATATTGGAAACCGGCCAGATGTTCTTCAACAGGTGACTGGCTAAACAAACCATGATATATCCACACCACGGAACACTGCTCATCAACATAAAGGAGCAAACACGAACAACCTGCATGATTCACCAAAGAATTAACTTGAGTGGAATAAAACCGATCTCAGAAGGTTACATACAGCATGATTCTACTTATACAATACCAAAACTATAGAAATGGAAAACATACCAGTGGTGGTCTGAAGTTAACAACTGAGCTGGGGCAAGCTCAGAAAAATGAGAGGATTTGTCCAAAAAAAAGGTACAATTAGTGAAACTATCCTTCCAAGAAACAAACATAAAACCTAGATGTCAAACATCAGAGGATCTTTCTGAAATGGAAGAGCAACAGATCCTCAAAAACTAATGTGCCGCAAAGACTGCCCTTCCCCTCCCCCAAACACTTCAAAGGCTTTCCTATACATCAACTCAATGTGAAAATCCGCGACCACTGACCGTCATTTCAAATAAAGTTTGTGAATCCTTAGAGAAATGAGTACAGTCAAAGGTTTGTAAAATAAATACTGCAAGATTATAAAACCTGAAAGTACTGAAAGGACATAAAAATAGTAGCTGCCTCTGGGATGAGAAAGGGACCTGAAGAAGAACAAAGAGGGTTTTCAGACTCTGTAATGCCCTGTTTCTTTTGCATTTGAAAACGGACACAAACGTGACAAAATATTGTTAATTCTTATGGTCAGTATACAGATACACGTTGTTACATTTTACATTTTTGTTTTTCAAAGTTAAAACAAGAAAATTTAAAAAGAAGGGAGACAGAAAGATCTACAGCTCACATTTCTCTGACCTCTATTTTAAGAAGCCTCAGCCAAGTCCATCCCACACAGAAAAACATTTTTCCAAAGAACCATTTATAAAGCTGATATTTGTTGAGTATGGTTTTACATACATCTGTAAATATATTATTTATATTTTTCTATTTCATTTGTTTTTGTGAAATTACTGTTAACCTTTATGATATGAAATGGATTTATAAGAATAAAACCTCATTTTACAACCTACATACTCTTAAGAAATAACAGTACAATTCTTGAAGACTTCATTATGTGACTTTTTTTAGGAACTGATTCTAGAGTAAGGTGGATACAAGATTGGCAAATAATCACTTAACGTGATAAAAAAAATTCTAGGTACTGACATATTATTAAAATAGGACTTTCAATCTTGCTGTTTTAAAAAACATATTTCCCAATAGTTCTCACTGGATCAATTATGTCCCCAAATTCTAATAGAGTAATGAAGTCCTCATAAACCAAGTTTTAAAAAATGATCAAAAATTGTTATTAGCAGGTCCAAATGGCTCAATAATTTTTTAACTCACTGATTTCTGCACTTTGTGAGTCTCCATTTTTTGAGGTTTGAATAAAAGGGGGGGAAAAAGCTGTTTATAGTATGATGAAATAAAGTATGACCTCAGGAATGCATCATCAGAACACAGAACTGATCGAAACAAAGGACAGAGAGCAAAGCTGGGCTAGGAGTGAAAAAGAATACAAAGATTAAGAGACAGTCTACAGGTGGAGAAGAGAGAATACCACTGAGATACATCTAAGGAACTGATGAAGTTTGGGGAAGAGTGAGCCTGCAAATCCCTGGCAAAAGGATTCCCTTTTACAGCTTCTCTAGACTTAAAGACATACATACAAACCACAACACAAATAGGGGAAGTCATACCTTTCAGGCCTAAAGTCTGCAACTGAAACAGTTTTCCCAGCTCAAAAGGCAGAACTCGTAACAGGTTGTTATTTAAATGGAGTTCCCTGTGGATGTAAAAGTTCCATGTCAGAAGATATGTAACCTTTTAACTCATAGCTAAAATCAGCAATATAGTTTCTAAGAATATAATCTTGTAAGAATGACAAAATTGTATAGTATATGCATTAGAATATACTATAGTGTGTGTGTACAGTGCTTCTCAAACAATCGATGGTAAAAAAAACAAAACACAACAAAGTAACCCCAAACTGCCACAGACCAATACATTTTTAAAACAAGGAAAAAATAAATTAGAAAAATGAGATGAGAAAAAAAAACAAGACCAACAAAACACAAGCCCTAATTTTTAAAGAGCATTAAATTTAACAGGTACAAACCTACTCTCACACATCGTATATGTCAGTGCAGGCTGACACAGTCTGCAAACCGGCACAGTCCACGCACCACCCCGAGAGCAGCACTGATCCAGCACATGTGGGGTCTACCACACGGTTTTAAGAAAGTGGAAATGAGAAAACAAACTAACATGTGAATTGTTAAAGGAGAATTAAAATGATCGTGTAGCACCAACTGAAAATAGCTTATGTAGCCGCAAAATTGTCTATTGTTAATATTTCTCCAAATTGACTAAAATTTCACTTTAGAAATAATGGCAGCTATACTAACTACCAATGATTATTTTAATGATTTTTTTGGTAAAGATAACTATAACTATCAAAGGAATCTCCAGTAGGAAAAAAAGACCCAACATTGAGACATTTAAATTTCCTCCAATTAAGTTTTATCTATCAATTTTTAAATGTGAGTAAGTACTACTTCCATAATCCCTGGTTCTTGGAATTTAAATGAACCTTGGTGGGGCGCCTGGGTGGCTCAGTCGTTAAGCGGCTGCCTCCGGCTCAGGCCTTGGTCCCAGGGTCCTGGGATCCAGCCCCGCACTGGGTTCCCTGCTCAGCGGGGGGCCTGCTTCTCCCTCTCCTACTCCCCCTGCTTGTGTTCCCTCTCTTGCTATGTCTCTGTCAAATAAATAAAATCTTTTAAAAAATAAATAAATAAAGCTTGGTTATTACTTAGTGAACCAGAGGTTGGCGAGGCCATAAACTGAACAAGAACAACTAAATAAGTTGTTCCCATTTATTTCCACATATAACACATGGGAAAGGAGGTCTTTTAAGGAGATTAAAAATGGTCATAGTATATACTCAGTAATTAAGCCTAAAACAATGTCAAAAAGCTGGACTAGGAGCAATAAAGAAACTCTCATAAGGTCCTTATTCCTTTTTATTATGCAGCAAATGGTAGAAGGCAACATAAAAGCCAGTGGAATCAGAAAAAAAGGCAGGTAACATGAAATGGGGTAAGATTTTCATTAGGACTAACATAATAACTAGAAATTAGCTTTGCATTCAACTTGAGTAGGTTCCATCTACCTTACAAAACAGAGATCATAAAATAAAAAGCAATTACCATTTATTAAATACAATATGTGTCAGGCAGCTATCTTACTCATTATTTCAGATATATCTAATCTCAGCCCTGGCTAGGTAACTACTATACAGTAACTGTATACAGGACAAAATGCTCAGCAAGGTTAAGGAGCTTGCAAATTCACACACCTTGCAAATGGCAGTTAGGATTCCAAATTGAACTGTGTGACTTCACAGCCTATCGACCTCCTATACCCCACACTACAGTCCCCCAAATCTAATGACTAATTTTAGCTCCTTTCAAGTCCAGACTTTATTACTATCATGCATACAAGCCCAGGGATGGCCATAAAGTTTTCGCCCATTAGCAATGGTTTCCGGGACTCTGTGTTAGCCATGGTGTGGTGCCCCAGAATTTCAGAAGAAAAAGCACCACAACCATCTGTCATTATGTGGAATAACATAACTGCCTTCTATTTGTTGACCCCCCCACTTTGTCCAAAAATCTTGTTTAAGAATAAAGTATATTACACAAATTATAGCAATAAAACAAATTTTAGGCAATGAATCTACTGGATTTATTATTTGTTGGCTGACATTCAATTTTCCCAGAAAACTTTACATAGAGGATATAGTTATGTTTGCTTTCGTTCAAATACCATTTAATTGGTAGTGCTGTTTCCTGGCAAATAAATGCTCTATTTTGTTTTTAGGGGGTATAAAGTCATATAGGAAGTCGAATCTGCACACCTGAGTGATACCATGTTTCCAAGTTCTGCCGGTAAACTCCGGATTTTATTAGAGGACAGGTCCAGATATACCAGATTGTGGAGCTTGGCAATGTCTGAAGGAATGCGGGACAGAGAATTGTCACTCAGATGCAAAGCTGTCAAGTGAGTGAGGGACCACAAAGATGAGCTTAAGCTTCTTACTTTTCCTGTAAGAGAAGAAAAAAAATGGGGAAAGGATTATATAGTGGTCTCTACAATCTGGTCCCTGGATTAACATCTAAATAGGTGTTTCAATGAGTAATAATTTATCATTTAAAAAATTGTGAGGAAGGGTTTAACAGGAGAAAGCTTACCTATTCTAAGGACAATACACTGTTACGACTAGGTTATAAATTCTCCTTAGCAAACTAAAAAAAAAACCTCAACGTTTAGATTGCATCATCATTTTTAAGAGCACAAAAGTTAAGACTTTATCCTTTAAGGCTGCCTCAACTATGACATGAAAGAAACGGTTCAACTAACTTATACTGATGATAAATCCAGTATTTTAACATGATTAATTAAAATTATGCCCCCAAAAAATCAAATCCAGTATCTCAGAAGCTTTTCCTAGCTATACTCTAGAAAACAAGAATTCTGCCTGAAAACAAAAGGTAAATAATATATTCACAGCTTAGAGAAGTTTTAAGACCAGGGTACCCAAGTGGTAATTCCATCAAGAATCATGTAACAAAAAAAAAGCTGTACTGAATAATTACAAGTAAAAATACTTGCCCAGAAACATTACAGATATGAAATCATAAATATATGATCAAAGAGTAGTCGACACACGATTCAGTAACTAAGAAAAGAATAATTTCCTTCAATGCATCATTAAATCAGTACTTTGGTACATTTTGATAAGATGACAACCATTTCTACAATCCATCTAAGAACTAAGAACTTTCCCCCAATTTCTTTAATGGTCCAGGATCTAGTCTGAGACAGAATGAAACAAACAGATGTAATGGAAATACATTAGTCTTTACGAACTAATTTTCTCTTGGCTAAAAAAGCAATCTTGAGACTTCTAATCAAGATGGAGTAACAGGGACCAAATTTACTATCCTACCTGAACAACTACCATACCAGACAATGTACATGAATCAACAAATTTCAGAGATCAGACACCAACCAGTGCATAACAGTGATCCCTCAAGGATCACTAACAAGTCAGGCCCTACAACTGTCTCAGCCTGTGGACAACAGCACAGGGAGGGGATCCCAGGGGCAGCACAGTGATCTCCCCCAAGTTCTGGAGACAGGGAAGCCAAGATGACTAGAATTTACAAAGGCAGAGTACCAGAGAGAGATGAACAGACAAAGAAGTCTGGAGATGGGAAAAAGGTCCCCCCTCAAGTTTTCAGCTGAGTATTGGTCAGTATAAAAATGTGAGAAATTGCCTAAGCCAGAGGAACACCCAAAAGGAGTAGAAACAACAATCCCCAGGATTACACAGAACTGAGGCTAGCTGGTGTTCCCAACTACCAAAGGGAAAGACCTCATAACTCATAAGATGCTGGACTTAGAAAATCAGCCCTAGACTAGAGACCACTCTGGTCTCACCTAAGAAAGTTAAAGAGCAAGCCTCAAAAGGATTACACTGATTCTAACTGTATCCCAAAACAAAGCTCAATACAGGTTATAGGAATACAAAAATATGCATCACCCAACAAGGCAAAATTCACAATATCTGGCACCCAATAAAAAATTACCAGGCATGCAAAGAAGGAAAATAACAGCAATAATGAAGAGAGAAAACAATCAAAACCAGTTCAGAAGAGAGAATGATGATAAAATTAGTAGACAGTTATTGGAAGCTACTGTAACTGTATTCTATACGGTCAAAAACTAGAAGACTACACTTGTTAACCAGAGATACAAGATAGCATAGACAACCAAACTGAACTTCTAAAAAGTTGAACACCATGTCTAAAATGAAGATACAGCAACAAAATTACCCAAAATGAAACAGAGAGAGAGAGAAATACTGAAAAAATTCACATCCATGCACTCTTCGAAACTTTAAACAACCTAATATATTCGTAATTGAAGTCCCCAAAACAGGTATGAGTTGGGGACAGAAAAAAAAAAAAGCTTAAGAAATAAACCCAAAAGACAACTATATATCCACATGCAAAAGAATAAAGTTAAACCCTTACCTCACACCATATACAAAAAGTAACTCAAAAACTCTTGGAAGAAAACAGAGGCATTAATCTTCATGACCTGATATTATGCAATGGTTTATTAGATATGACACTAAATAGCACAACAAAAAATTGTTAAATTGTACTTCACCAAAATTAAAACCTTTTGTGCCTCAAAGAACACCATCAACAAAGTGAAAAGACAATCCACAGAATAGGAGAAAATATTTGAAAATCATAAATTTACTAAGACATTTGTATCCAGAATATATAAAAAACTCATACAATTCAGTAAAAAAAGACAAATAATTCAATTTAAAAGTGGGCAAAGAACAAACAGGTACTTCTCCAAAGAAGATGTATACAAGTGGCCAACAAGCACATGAAAAGATGCTCAGTATCGCCAGCCATCACGGAAAAGCAAATCAAAAGGAACAATGATACACTACTTCATACGCACTAAGAGGACTGTAATAAAAAAGACATAGATGATAACAAGTATTGGCAAGGAGTAGAGAAACTGGAACCTTCATACACTGCTGGTAGAAACATAAAGTAATGAAGCCACTTTGGAAAATTGTATGGCAGCTCCTCAAAAAGGTTAAACACAAGTTACCACATGAGCCAGCAATTCATTCCTACATATATACCCAAAAGAAAGGAAAACGTGAGTCCACACAAAACCTTACACACGAGTATTCATAGCAGAATTATTCTTAAGAGTCATGAAGCAGAAACAATTCAAATGTCCATCAACAGATTAATGAATAAAATGTGGTATATTCATTCAACAATATATGAAATATTAATACATGCTAAAACATGCATAAATCTTAAAAACATTTTGCTAAATGGAAAAAGCTGGTGACCACATATTATAGGATTCCATTTACCTGAAATGTCCAGGATAGTAACAAATCCACTGAGACAGAAAAAAAGATTAATGCTTACCAAGGGCTGGCTAGTTGAGATGAAATGGGGAATGGCTGCTAATGTGTACAGGGTTTCTTTTGGGGACAATGAAAATGCCAAATTGTGGTAATGGGTGCACAATTCTGTGAATATACAAAACCACTAAATGTGCATTTTAAGTGGGTGAATTATGTAAATTATATCTCAAGCTATTACCAAAAAGAAAGAAAAAGAAGTTGATGAAGAGAGGCAGAAAATTCTCCACTTCTGATGAAAAGTATAAACCCAGACACAAAAAGCTCAATGAACCCCAAGTACATGAAAACTCCATGAAGAGCAAGAAAGAAAACTACAGGAAGGCACATCTTCATCACTGGCTTAAAACAAATGATAAAGAGAAAATCTTAAGAGCTGTCAGAGGAAAAATAATTACACAGGGAAACAAAGATGAAAAGGTCTGCAGACTTCTACTTGTAAACAATGCAAGAGAGAAGACAGCAGAGCAAAATCTTTAATGTATTGAAAGAAAAAAAATCCTACAAACCTAGCAACCCAGCAAAAATATCTTTCAAAAATGAAGGCAAGTTACAAGATGAAAGAGCTACGGGGATGGATTGTAGTGATGGTAGCACAACATTGTAAATGTATTTGATAAAAACCTTCCCACAAACAAGATTTAAGAACCAGAGAGGCTCATTGGTGAATACAACCAAACATTTAAGGAAGAACTAATAACAATTCTACAGATTGATCCAGAAAACTGAAAACAAAAAGATACCTTCCAATTCATTCTGAGGCCAACATCACTTGTTTACCAAAACCAAATAAAACTAGTATAAGAAAAAAATACAAATCAAATCCAACAATATATTAATAGGACAATGACCAAGTAAGATTTGTGCCAGGAAATCCAAGGTTTGTTAAACGTTTGGGGAAAAAAAATGATTCAAAAAACTTTTCTTAGAAAAGAGAATCATCTACGTAGATACAGAAAAGCATCTGACAAAATCAACATTTAAAATCAGCACTTAATCAAATCATGAATTCAATTTAAAAAAAAAGTTCTCTCAGTAAGCTAAGAATAGAACAGAACTTCTTCAATCTTGACAAAGGGCATCAATAAGAAGGTTAGTGGCAAGGGAATAAATGTTTTCCTCCTAAGATCAGAAACAAAGCAAGATATGTTCCACTATCACCACTCCCATTCAAATTATGCTGGAAGTTTTAGCCTATGCAGTAAGACAAGAAAAACTTAAAAGTGGAAAGACAGAAGTCATGTTTATCTGCAAATGGCACAATCATCTATGTAAAATCCTAAGAATCTCCAAAAATACTACTGACAAGTGAGTCTAGCAAAGTTGTAGAATAAAGTATCAATATACAAAATATCTACTGTATTTTTATATATCGCAACACACAATCAGAAACTGGTATTTAAAATAACATTTACAACAGAACGAAAATTATGAAACAGAGGCAAATCTGACCCCCAAAAAATGTGCAGAACCTGTGTACTAAGAACTACAAAACACCCTGAAAGAAATCTAAGAATTCCTAAATAAGTAAAGAGATACACAGTGTTCACAGATCAGAAGATTCAATATCGTTAAGATATTATATCTCCCCAAACTGATTTACAGAGAGTCAACATGGTCACAATCAAAATGCCAGCATGTCTGAAACTGGCAAGTGAATTCTAAAATTCACATGGAAATTCAAAGGCCTTACAAAATTCAGAACAACTTTGAAAAAGAAGAAAGCTGGAAGACTAACACTACCTGATTTTAGAATTTTTTTTTTAATATTTTATTTGTGAGAGAGAGAGAGAGAGAGAGAGCGCACAAGCAGGGGGAGAAGCAGAGGGAGAGGGAGAAGCAGGTTCCCCGCTGGGCAGAGAGCCCAATGTGGGGCTCGATCCCAGAACCCTGGGATCATGACCTGAGCTGAAGGCAGTTGCTTAACCAACTGAGCCCTACCTGGGCGCCCCCTGATTTTAGAAATTATTATATAAAGAACTCTCAAAACTCAATAATGAAGAAAACAACCCAATTTTCAAAGATTCAAGATTTTATTTATTTATTAGAAAGAGCACATGAGAGAAAGAG